TGAACATGATTTAAACCACTCATGACCTGTACTATTTAATGATGCTTGTAATCAAAACCAGCAACTAACTGGTTATACTGATCAAGATAATTATTTGCTCAGGTTTATTAATGCCAACGCTGCTTTTACTGCCATAGTTCTGTACGGGAACAAAAGTACTAATTATTTTGGTCTTTATTTATTTTTATATATTCCTGTCTTAACATTTTATTTCAATAAAATATTTATAGATGTGATGAAAATGGTTAATTGATTAAATGTAACATTGTTGTTGTAATAAGTCTTATTTATCTAAAATAATAATGTAATATTTTATATTATTACTTTAGACACGTAGTAATGACACGTAATCATACTGGACACATGACAAAGTAATGTCGTTACTTTTAGACATGTGACATGTAAGATATATCACACTGGGCACATGATAAAGTAATGTCATTACTTTAGACATGTGACATGTAAAATATATCACTTTAGATAGATAACCTGTGTCATGTTAACATTTTGGACACATATAACTTATCACGTTTGTAATGAGCATTGACCGTTTGTCAATTAACGACTTACAATCAGCAGTATCTAGAGATTCCAGTCCATGGAGCTAAGAACAACTTGATCCCAAATAATTAAAGACGATCAGGCCCAGACCAATACATGTGTCAGACGGGCCTTAGCTCAAGGCAGCATGTTTGAGGGGACATCAGTTTTCTAGTGCTTATATATTGAACGGATTAGCAATTCTAAGCATCGAAAATTAATTTTTACAAAATCTTGATTATCGTAAAATAATAGAGGTTTTTACTTCAAAAAAATGCTCTAAGGTATCATTTTAGGTTATATTTGTAGCCTTGTAGGTTTTGATTTGTATTAGTATTGATATTGTTTGACTATAATTTCTATTACATTTTTGTTTTAAAAAAATTATTTATGTTTTGTCTATTATACGGTACAAGTATAGGGGCATAAAATTATTATCTCGCCCGGGGCATTAAAACTCATTGGACCGGCCCTGAAGACGATACACTTGATTAATATGAGAGAGGAGAGGGTGGACAACTGTTGGTGAAAATGATGTTAATAATTGATAGAAATTAGCTGACTCTATTCCCATATGTAATGGAGTAAGAGGGAGGTAGGATAGTAGATTGTCTCCAACGCCAGGTTGAGAGCAGCTTCTGTGGGAGACATCCGGCAATCAAAATTATGAATTGCCCACCGTGTGACTCGATCCCACAACCACAAGATTAAGAGCCTTGCGTTCTTACCAACTGAGCTGGACGGACAACTCAAAAAGAGAATATATTATTAATATGATGCGAAAGTTTTGGATTCTCAATTCATTAGTCACTTAGTCAATGATGCTGGTTTATTGGTTTAATGAGACCGACCATTTTGTTTCTGATTATATCTCATTCCTTTTACCATTTGGTATTTGGGGTTGAAGCCATCCCCTACTTGATTAAATTCACAAAAAGAGAATGGAGAATGAACTTGAAAAGACTACCCAAAGCCTATGCCTATGCCTATTGAGTATACCACTTAATATTGCGGGTTAACTCCACATTTAGTACTCCAACTATTATTTTTATTCTATTTTTGATCACCTAATTATTTTTCAAAACAATACACAACGTTATATTTTAGTTTCATTTTAGTCACCTATCATTAAAAAGTTAACAGAATTACTGACGTGAAATATTTAAAAAATTAATGATGGCATGTCATTATATTATAATGACACGTCAACATCACCGTTAATGTTTTAATGACAAATGATCAAAATGAAATCAAAACTAAACTAAACATTAATAATTGAGGACCTTAATCTTTCCAATATGCTTTTTTCCCTTTACAATTAAGATCCTTAAGTTTTCTAATCTCACTTTACAGCTTTATAATTGAAGCCATTCAATTTTTTAACTTTATAATTGAGGTCTCTAATTTTATCAATCCTAGTTTTTATATTTATAATTGAATCCCTTAATTTTTTAATTTAAATTTTTACATTTATAATTAAGGCCCTTAAAAGTTTCAATCTCTCTTTTTATCTTTATAATTGAGGTCCCTAATTTTTTTCAATATCACTTTCTACTTTTATAATTAAAGCCCCTAGTTTTTTTAATCTCACTTTTTACTTTTATAGTTGAGGTATTTTTTTTAATTTCACCTTTTACATTTATAATTGAATCCCTTAATTTTTTTAATCTAATTTTTTACATTTATAATTAAGGCCCTTAAATTTTTCAATCTCTCTTTTTTACCTTTATAATTGAGGTTTCTAATTTTTTTCAATCTCACTTTCTCCTTTTATAATTGAAGCCCTTTATTTTTTAATCTCACTTTTTACCTTCATAATTGAAATCCCTAATTTTTCAATATAACTTTTTACTTTTATAATTTAGGACCCTAATTTAATCATTTTCCTAAGATTTATTACTATAATATTAAATTAATTGTTCAAAGTAATAGAATATACTTTTATTCTATAAGGGTCTATTTTTTAATTTCGCTCAAGGCCCTAAAAATGTTTGAAACAGCTCTAATTATAAGGTATTTTTTTAATAAAAAAATTTAATCATTGATAACAGATACACTTTGTAGACGTAGTTGTTAAAATATGGATCCTTTAAAAAGAATAACATTCTTGTTTACTACTAAAGTCACTCAATTGAATTAAATTTACAAATTAAGTAAAAGAGAATGAATATAAGGATCTCCCAAATCCCAAACTGCATATGCTCTGAGAGCTGTTGATTATTGGTGTCACCGGCTCTTATTTTACTAAATAATTATTTGAATAACAAAACTATATGTATAACAGCATTGATTAGAGTGATAGATGCAAATTATTGGGCGATTGAAGGAGTAACAAGATTGCCATCTTATTAGGATCTTTTTGTGCAGACACCCAGACAACTTCATCACCTTACGACCTGTGCTGTTTGTTGTCTCTTGTAACATCTACTTACACAGTAATACACAATCAAGTTCCCTTTCTTGGATGTAGTTAACAATGCAAAACCCTTGCTTGATGGCTTAACTCGTTAATTGTTTATTCTACAGGCTAGCAAGGTGGTGATATTTACAAACAAGCAATGCAGCATGGGCAATTCATCAGTTTAGTTGGGCAGAAAATGTTAGATTAGTGGATGAGTTAATCTGAGAATACTCTATGTGTGGTATGGTCTGGTTTTCACATGGAAGCATGTGGCGTTGCGCAATCAATGGCTTCTAAACAGTGTTCCACTCTGACACTGGATCCGTGGCGATGGCTGGTTCGTAAATGGAATTCCGTACCCCCAGCCCAAGCATCACTTTTATGGAATCTTCTCATGCACCGCATTGCATAGCATCATTATATTTTTTATTTATTTTTCTGATGAGACCTACGAGATTGACAAAATATAAATACACTGGGCTCTGTGTTTTGCCCTTGGAGATGTCCATATTAATTGGGCTTTCTAATTGCTGTGGCAGATTTGACTCCCAATCACTACAACCCATGTTGAACCACTCTTCACATTATGTCTTTTAGGATCCTTTTGCTCCAAAAGTCTTATTGCTATTTCTAAGCCGACACTTATCGAAAGTCGTAATAGCCTATTTGGACTTGATCTTATCACGTGCTTCACAGTTTCTTTGGTCGTTCAACGGCAATCGCAACTTGTACCGATGCAAGATCAGACAATCGGATGAATTTTATGTTATGACGGTGAAATTAACTACGAGTTAAGTCAATTTAATGGTTTCACTTGAGTTAGATCGAGTCTAAGTCGATTCAAATTCGACTCATTATTAGGTTGATTTTAAATTAGACTAAGTTTGATTTAGATTTGATTAATTTCAGGTCAGGTCAATATTAGTTCGGATTAAAATAGTTTGGGTCCAAATTAATTAAATATCAGATTAATTCAAGTTTGGATAGACTTCGGATCAAACCTTGCTCAAGTCGGTTCATATCACTGACAGATAAAATTAAATTCCGATAATATCGATTTTGGGTGAACACATCAAGTTTCATATTCTCGGGTACAATTATAATTTTAGTGTATATAATATATATGGTTAGGATTCATTTACATAATGTAAAACTCTTTTAGTTTTACATATATTTATAATCGTTAGACGAGTAAAAATAATTATATATATAAAAGTAATCTAATATAGGTTATAAGCTTATAGCCTTACATGACTCTAGCCATATGTTATAGGGCTTAAAGTTTATTATATAACTTAGGGTAAATTATATTATATACAATTGTGTTGTATCATTGATACTATTGAACTTTTATTTTGTTAATTATAGTATTGAATTTTGATTTTTGTTTCAATTATACCATTGGATTGTTAGATTGTTAACATTTGAATCAAAACAACATCGTTTTGGTGAGGTGCCAACGTCGACAACCATCAATCACATAGACAACCGTCAATTGCGTCATCACACCATTAATGATTTAATGATTCAATGATATAAATGAAACAAAAATCAAAGCTTAGTGCTATAATTGATAAAATTAAAAGTTCAGTGGTAATACTTTGCAAGAACCGAACGACCTTAGTGGTAAATAAATTATTATTATTCTTTGAGGTCCTGAGTTCGAGCAAAAAAATATCAAGGGTATGAGCGTTCAATGTATAAATGATTGAGAGTTATCTTTGAACAGATACTGACTTGTACTTATCTTATATTAATCTATTTTTTTTTAAAAATTTAAGAAATTGAAAGTTTAGATATTAAAACGGATCAAAACTAATTCTTTAGGTACTAAACGCATTAAATTTTTAATAGTGGATATCAAACTAAAGTAAAAATTAAATTTTAGCTATAATTTTAAAAATAATTAAAAATTTAAATACTAAAATAAATTTAAATTGATAATTTATGTAATAAATACTTAGGTTTTCTAATAATAACAGAAGGAAAACAGATCTCATTGAGATATCACAGTAACTTAGAAACGACAGCAGCCTAATAAGTTAGCCATCACATAAAGACCAAACTCCCACTCTCATCTATCCTGAGTTCACAGATTTGCTCATATGTGATGTCCCAAAATGCAGTGCTTCAGCTCCATTAGATCATCCCTTTCCATCTCTTAGATCACCCTCAATCTCGTCCAGAAAAATGGGCTCCACCCAATCGGTACAAGAAGGCGAAGAAGATAGCCCCGACGACGAGGAACAAGTCGACGACGAAGATGAAGAAGAGGAAGACAACAATGAACCCAACATAAGACAACTCGAAAACAACCACTTGGTCAAGAAAGTGCTGAAGCAGGAGCCCGAAATGTTACCCTGCTACGCTTCGGCAACCCCCCTCTCTCCGCAGCAATCTTCCTTGGGTACTCCTAGGATGGGTCCTTCAATCAAGGTGTGGGACCCTTATAATGTATTGGCTCCGCCTCCACCGCTTCCCCCGCCGCCTGTTTTCTCTCGTTCGTTTTCTTTCGACGATGATCGGATGGTGCTTGAGGTTTATTTCATTAGCCATGGCGAGTGTGATTTGAATTTGAGGCCTAATATTGTCGGTGGAAGATGCGACGGAGCCGCTTTGACTTCTAATGGGAAGCGCCAAGCCAGGGCTTTGGCTGTCTTCCTAAATTCTCAAGGGGTTAGGTTTAATGCTGTTTATTGCTCTCCGTTGGATCGGGCTAGATCTATGGCTCTTTCCGTTTGTCAGGTATCGGGCTAGATCTATGGCTCTTTCCGTTTGTCAGGTAAAACTCATCTTGTCAATTGATTCTTCTCAAAGGAATATTGAATTTCTTTTTGAGTGTGTGATAAGATTATAGAATTGTTAAATAGGATAAAATTTCTAGCTTTAATTGCTAATCTCTTTAGTATCCCTTCCATTCCATCGAGCAATTTGATATCCTTCTCCTGCTAAAATTGGGATTTCCTCCTATCAAATGACTTCATTTTAAGTTAAGAGGCAAAAACAATAGGATTCAAGTTTTCATTTGCATCCAGTTTCTAGTTTGTTCTCTGTCTAATAGGGGATCATGGAAGTACAGGAGCAATTCCTCTTGTGGAGAAAATCATATGATATTGGACTAACTAGTTATGGTGCAAACCCCTGATTTATTCGTCCTTTTGCTCTTATGATGATGGAAAGAGTGGATTTTCCTGGTGAATCTTGATTTTAGATTGCTTTGATAAGTGAGTGTATGTTGCATGTGTTAAGTTGCTGAAGTATCCACCTTCTCATTCTTGTTCTAGACCGGCGGTAGCATTTGTTTGGAGTTTCTTATAGTTGCCATAAGTGCATGATGGAGTGAGCAAAAGTCGAATTGATTAGTCTAATATTAGTATTTAGCATCATCGTGGCTCTTTTCCCTTCTTATCATCGGTTTAGCCGTATTTCCCATTTGCATTCTTTCATTTTCTCGTTCACCCTTTCTTGCAATTGTTGGGCTTCAAAATAGAAAAGAAATTGGGGGTTAAATTGCTTAGCAACTCTAAGGCTGCATATGGATAAGTGTATAGACATCTTTCTTGATGCACTTTTACTTGCTATGCAACTAAGTCTATGTGCTGAATTGGGGTCAAGTGGCAAGCAACTGCTAGTTCTTTTGAGATTTGTTTTGTTGAGGTTGTTGGTATGTAAGGACTTGTTGAACTAGGCAGTGTATGACGTAGTACAAGTGTTAAATTTTCTTGCAATGATCGATCAACAGGCTAAGTAGAAAACACTTAAGAAACAGACTATTTGATGTGTGCAAAGTTAATAAAGATTGAGTTAATGACATCAAATACACATGAATTCCTGATAAATCTCATGAAGTATCTTATCAATTTCTTATCCGAGTGGACTATTACAAATTTAAAGGAAATATACTTTATAGATTTAGTAGTGAATGTGTAAGATATATATGTGTAAGCGCGTTGAAGCCATCAGTGAAAAACATTCTCTCATTTTTGGAGGGACTTGTATCCCCATTTTATTGTTGAGTGAAGTAAACTGTACCACGCTTTCAGCTTTAGTTTTGTAGGCCTGTTAAAAGACAAGTGAATTGTCGAAAGGCCAGGCTTCCTTAACAAGCCAATGGTTATTAATAGTGATAAACTTCAACTGCTTTATATTTTACCATGGGTAAGTTCTGTGAATACTTAACATTTCTGAAGGATCTTTTTTACACCAATGTGTAAATGAATATTAACTTCAGCCATTATTTCTTTAAGGATAGTTTCCTTGTTAAAGCCTAATGGTGAACAAGACATCATGAATAATCATTTGTAGCAATAGGAATCAAGACTTTGATCTGTCCTCTTTTGCTTTTTTTTTTTATAGCAGTGGTTGCAATAATTGCTTCTTGAATCCAATGTTTACTTATACATAGTGCATGATCACCTAATTATTGTTTTTGATGGAGGCAATTTTAATGATGATATAAGATGAGTTTTATGCATTTTCCTGGTTATATTGACTCATCTATGATGGTTGCCCTTTTAAATCATGCAGGAGATGAATTTTGCAGTAGCAGAGATACAACCCTCTGGTGCACTTATGGATCTGAATATGGGGCACTGGGAGGGGTGCCCTCGGTCAGAAATATATACACCTGAAGTTTTGGGTCTAATGGAAAGATACCAGCCTGATTTTTCTGCACCTTCTGGAGAATCTCTCAGGCAATTGGAATTTCGTATGGCTCAATTCTTGAATGGGACAGTCCTTGGACTTTCTGAAAAACTTAGATCTGAATTTTGCTTACACCAGAATGAGAATCAAGGATTTACACACCATGACAACCATGCTTTAACCAACTCAGTTCATGATAGAGATGTAGCTTCTCTTCAACTACCCCATTGGGATATGCTTCAAAAGCAGCGACCTGGTCTATCAAGGAAGACGTCTGGTAAGAGCAGGCTACAATTTGTGTCGAATGTTGGTGAACATGATGCTGATGATGAAATGTCTCCTCGGGAAAACAGTCATCAGTCTGACCTTCATGACTTAAATGTCAGGAGTTCCTCTCCCCCCTCCACTTCCTTGGCCTCCACTTCTGTTGGTGTTTTTACTCATTCCCTGCCAATTAAATGTCTTCTCACGGGCCTCCTTGAGTGTAGTCCTGTAATGTCACGTAAGGTGTGCATAGAGGACTCTTCTGTGACTGTATTACAGCATTCTTGGAAAACAGGTTGGCAGATTAAACGGTTGAATGATACTGCACATCTTAGGCTTCTTTAGTTGGGGTTTGAGGGTTGCATGCTGTCCTACAGCAGAATTAGCGTCCCAAAAAGTGAATTGTTAATTGTTGGTTAAAATATGGCATTACTATGATTCTTCGTCCAAGTTGTAATTCTGCAACTCACGATCTCACTTGTGTTTCATCTACATTATATGTGTTGTAGCATTCAAATTTGAATAGTTAATTCAACATTCATGGTATCCAAAGAGAAGAATTCTTTTGGAAGTTGGAGTTTTGTATCGGATGATTCTTTGTGATTTGTAGTGTTTATGACCGTTGATTTTTATAGAGTGAATTTATTTATGAAGTAATTCCTGAACTGCACGGCATGGGTTAGCTATAATTTGATGTTTTCTTTGTGTAGAAGATTGTAATGAACTTTGCATTTATTTTCTGTTGTTTAAGGTGGTTATGCTCAAGGATTGGCATAACATAAGAACTGTCGATAAACCTGTCTGAATATTCATTTGTCTTGTTATACATCTCTGCAGAAAAGCCATGCATGTTTCTTTTCTATTCCTAATCTTATTATACAGGTAGGTTGCCTTTAACTATCTATCAGCAAGTTCTAGTGTGCTTCTTACAGGTCAGTTTTGCTCTCTGGTCACACTTTTGATGTAAGGCAATTAATTTGAAATCAAAACACTTTTTAGTATGTATTTCATAGCTCTTGCCATAACCATTTTTGGTATGTCGTTGAACCTCCGTTAGTGGTGTTTCCCAGGAAATCTGAAGAAAGAAACCATCATGTCACCGATCATGCCCAACTCCTTGTTCTCATTCCATTCTGTTGATCCTTATAAAATAGGCGATACATCGTAATGATGCCTGCTTACCACTACCATGTGTTCGTAATGCTCTAGGGTGTGAAGGACTTTACTAGTTTCATTACTTCCTCTATTTACTTGGTGCAAGTTTTCCCAGAGATGGTTTTTTGAAACTGCGCCATACTTTAATTGTAAAGTCCCCTCTATGTATTTATCCGGAAAATCTGCATCATAACGGATTTTTACGCATGTCAAATTGATATTTTGACATGCATTCATCCTAGGTCCCGAAGTCAAAATGCCTCCATATCGTCAGCTCCACCTAAGAAGACACTACTTTGGAAGAAAGCCAGCCTGTCCAATTGACATGCAGGGTTTTAATGGTGACACAGTTCATGCGCATTGCAACCGAGCAAGGTGCTTGATCGAGGACATTATGGTTGGTAGTCTGTAAGGACTTTTTAGACAACTACACTTCCCACCCGACATGAAATTTCTCCTAGGAAGGAACTATAACAGTGAAGTTCCGCCGACATATCATCATACATAGTTTGAGGAGGAGATACTGAAATGAAGGGGGACAACTGAGACAAGATCTGCATGGGATTTTGGAAGTTTTTGAAGGCGTTGATAACATGTCCTGAGCCCCTTGTCTTGGGAGATACCCTTCTGGTCTTCTATGCAGAATGAGGACCAACGATGCAGCCCCTTTTAGCTCAATCATGAGAAGCATGTAAACAACGATTGGGCTCTGCTTGCAGGGATTTAATGTGTCAAGGAGGTTAAGGGCAGATGGAACATTTTGTTCCTCGTGAATGCAGACTAGGACTCTTCGTTGGGAGTTTGGTCTCGAGTGCAACACAGTTCTCCATAGCAACCCCGGTGCCTCCTTGAAGGTCATAGAAACATCTTGAAATCGATACAGTAACTCTGGTTCTTATTAGCATTGAAAAGGGCTGAAAAGAGCAACAGGTCATCTTTTGAATCGGTCCATAGCACATTAGACGTAATCACACAGACTGCACGACGTACTAACCACGGAAGAACACACTGCCACTCTTCCAATCTTTGAATTTTTAACCCTAAGCTCTTCAAGGTAGTATGCTACCATCGAGCGGGAAATCGTGGATTCTTTCTTGGCTATCGCCGGAAGCCTATCTACCCTCTTCTCGTTGGAATCTCATTGAATTGCATCCACACAAGGGTGGTGCCTAGGAATCATGGACTGTTTTGATGACTACAAGTATTCCACCCGTCATTGATATATAAATAACAACAATAAGAAAACGCCATCAACAATCATTCAATCAACCAATGCATTTGAGAAAAGAGCTTACTAGGATTTGAGCAACCATGAGGGGTAGGCCAAGATACATTAGGAGAGAAAATGTAAGAATAATGGCAGCATAGCAAGGGCCAATTGGATTACAAGAATGTGTTCGGGTTCCATTGTTGAAACCACGATTGCTGATGCTGAACAATGTTGCAAATGCAGAAATGAGGTAGAACAGAGGTGGTTAAGATTAAGACGGACATAATGGCTGACAATTTACTATAAAAAAACAAAACCACAAAATTTAAGGCATTCATTCATATACTTTTTCTCTTCCCTTGATTTCTTTACTAAATATATTCATGCAGGTGAGTTTACTGGGCTATGGAGGGCTTTAGACTTCCTTTAAGCTTTGGGCTTAGATAATAATCTTGCCCAATAGGTTATTCAGTCCAAGGTACCTGAAAATTATTCGAGGCAAATCCAGAGTTTTCACCATATTATAAAACGGGGAAGACGATTACTTTTTTCGATTATCGAACTAATTGATATTAATCTGAGCAGAGAATTGTGGGATTCCTTTTTCTCACAGGTTCCCAGCGCCGTATGGTGCCGTCGGTGAGTGGGTTTTGAGGTGAAGCCTTCCCGCGGTCTGTAGCCTTCAAACACTTCCAGTGTGGCAATCGAGTCATTTGGATTGAGTTGAGTAAGCTTATTTTTTGGTTTGAGACTATTTCAGTTTAGATTCAGTTCGAGTCAAATCTCCTCTCAAATTTAGTTTGGATCTATAGAAATTCAATTCTGGTTGAGTCAAAATTGAATATGTTCGTTTTTGGGTTGGGTTAATATTAGATTGGTTAACTTTGGTTCAGGTCAATATCAGATCGATTGATTTTGATTTAGGTTAACTATTAGAATTTTAGGTCAATTCGAATCGTTTTAATTTAAGCAAACCTTTAGATTTTTAGGTTAATCTTTAGATTTTTAAGTCAACTATTGTCATTCTTTGTCGTCATAACTTTTGTTGTCATTCTTTATTAATTATAATTCGAGAATTTAATGTGAATGTATATTTTCACATTCTCAAATTTAAAGCTAGAAATTTTAATTTAATCGATCAAATCAATAAATCTTTAAAATCAAGAATTCAAATTTAAAGCTAGAAATTTTAATTTAATCGATCAAATCAATAAATCTTTAAAATAAATTTTTTTATGTGATATTGTCAAATTTAGAGTTAAAAGTTATTTAATCAGATATAGAATTGACACTTTAACTAAGAAAAGATTTATTTAACCATTAAACTATTACTAAAAGTGACGGTTAACTAGTAGTATAATATAAATGAGTTATATATATATATATATGATAATAATAAAAATAAAAATGTATTCCTTCATTTAGACTCATTTATTGGGTTGAAGTTCGATTTGGATCAGATATGCGTAAACTAAATTCAAATTACTTTCAATTCAGGTTATTTTTTATCTAACTAAAATTCGTGTTGGTTTTAATTTAATTTGGGTTATTTCGTGTTTCGGATAAATTTTGGGTCATCGTATTCGGGTCTATATCGAGTAAATCGATTCGAGTGATCGGGTACAAGTCAAATTTGCTAGGCTCAAACACTTATTTTTAGGGTAAAATACACAAATGATCCATGACTATAGGAAAATGTTTTATTAAGTATCATCACTATTAAAAGTTACAAGATATTCCTTCAAATATAGGGTGTTACTTTATTGAGTCACTCGACTATTAAAAGTTACAGAAATGACCACTAAACTATTTATTATGTACTAAACTCGTCATTTTCCGTTAAAAAATGGATGACAGTTTGAGTTAGATGTAGATTAGTTGTCTGAGATATGATAGTCGTTTGAGATTTTGAGATTAAATTTTATCATATCTCAAACAACATATTAACATCCAATTCATACAATCATTAATTTTTAACAAAAAAAAAATGAATTTGGAACATAATGAATAGTTGGGTAACTATTTTATAACTTTTAATAGTTAAGAAACTCAACAAAACAATATTCTATAGTCGGATAACCATTATATAACTTTTGATAGTTGGAAGATTATTTTGTAACTTTTGATAGTCGAGAGCTTTCAAATACTCTTTTTTATTATTTCACATGTTTCATTAAATTTATCATTTGTTGACTTTTTTTTATCAATTTTTTAATTTTGATTCATTATTATTTAAAATTTATTATTAATAAAAATATGAAAAATATATATTTTATAAACCTTTAATCAAATAGTATTTAAATATATATTTTTATAAAATTTAATGATTTGAAATATTTAAAATAATCATCTTTAAAATTAAAAAAATTAATTTTTAAAAATCAATAATAGACAAATCTAATATGACAAATGGAGTATTATTATTATTATTCATTTTTTCGTTTTAAATAATAATTTCATTTTATGAACTGCAAATGAGGGGTAATTATTAATAAAATATTCCTTAATTTGTTTTAGTAAATAGAGACAATTTGATTTATTTTAAAGTGATTGGGTTGTTTCCCTGGTTATATGTCGTTCTAATTAACTGTTTCAAAATATTGTTTTAATTTTCTTACCTTTAATTTAATTTAATTATTTAAATATTTTTTGTTTTATAAAATTTGAGTTTATTTGAATAGTCTATTATCGTTAATAATTATATATAAGATTTGTATTTTTTTTAATTAAGAAGGAAAAAGAAACTTAAGTGACTATGGAACAGCACTACTATGCAAAAGAGTCCCTCCAGCATCAGTCGAGAGGATGACATCAACATAGACCGGAGAGGAGACCAAAAGAATGAGACCAGACCAATCTGGTTATACCATCCGTTAGCTTATTACTTACACGAAAACTTCAGACTCCAGCTATGGTCAATGAAGTTCAGAATGTGTAGCACCATCGATGAACCACTTCTCGACAATGACAGACAAAACTCCTTGTTATCCATTTCCAAAAGACTCGAGCGTAAACCCAGTTTCATGCCAGAGATAAACCTTGAAAAAATTCCCCATGGTTCTACATTAAGAACCGAACATTTCCTGATGGTTTTAATAAAACCCATGACCCATTTTCATTACCTACATTCCAAATGAGACCCTTCTGGACCTCCTCCCAGACTAAACTCATACTTTCTATAGTCGTGAGCAAACCCTTCGATTAATGGTCACCAGAACCATATCTTTAACTACGTATTTGGAGAGTCTAAAATTGATCTTCGTCGGATATGAATCTAAAAGCAACTTTCACAGTAAAAGTCTCAT